ATAACAGATGCTGGAGAGACTGTGGAGTAAAGGAACACTTATACATCATTGGTGGGAATGTAAATTAGTTCAGCCATTGTGGAAGACAGTGTGGTGATTCCTCAAAGACCTAAAGACAGAAATACCATTCAACCCAGCAATCCCATTAGTGGATATATACCCAAAGGAATATAAATCATTCTATTATAAAGACACATGCACACGTATGTTCATTGCAGATCTATTCGCAATGACAAAGACATGGAATAAACCTAAATGTCAATCAATGATAGACTGGATAAAGAAAATGTGGCTCATATACACCAGGGAATACTATGCAGCCATAAAAGAGAACAAGACCATGTCCTTTGCACTGACATGGATGGAGTCGGAGGCCATTATCCTCCAATAAACTGACACAGGAACAGAAAACCAAATACTGAATGTTCTCACTTATAAGTGGGAGCTAAATGATGGGAACACTTGAACACGACCTACCCTGCAACCTACTGAAGAGCAGAAGGTGGGAGGAGAGAGAGGATCAGGAAAAACTACTAATGGGTACTAGGCTTAATGTCTGAGAGATGAAATAATCTGTACAGCAAACCCCCATTATACAAGTTTATCTATGAAACAAATCTGCACTTATACCCCTCAACTTAACATAAAAGTTTTCAAAAAAGTAAAATCAAGCTAGCATAATTCAACTAACTGCTTAAATGAATGATTTTATAAATAATTTGAGGATGGCTGGGCGTGGTGGTTCACACTTGTAATCCCAGCACTTTGGGAGGCCAAGGCAGGAGGATCATTTGAGGTCAGGAGTTTGAGACCAGCCTGACCTACATGGTGAGACTCTGTCTCTACTAAAAATATAAAAATTAACTGGGCATGGTGGCTCATGCCTGTAATCCCAGCTACTTGGAAGGATGAGGCAGGAGAGTCACTTGAACCTGGAAGACGGAGGCTGCAGTGAGCCGAGATCATGCCACTGCACTCCAGCCTGGGTGACAGAAAGAAAAAGTAATAATAATAATAATTTGAGGATCGGCTATTGAAGCAGTAAAATGGATACTTGGAAGAGTCTCTATTCTTCCTGAAGGGCCGCAATACTCATTTCCATTTTACATATGAGCAAGACAAATAATCAAGAAGTTTAACCTATCTTCCAGATCATGCATCAGGCCAGTAGCGGAGATGAGAAGAGAATCTTGAAGGCTGGACTTTCTGTAGAGTGGGTAAATTCTCTGGTAGTCTTCATCTAAAGCCAGCATTTCACATACCGTCACAGAGTCATAGAACCTTAAAGGTCTGTTAGTCCAAACATGCTCAAAGCACATTAAAGTTTATTTGAAGGTCAAATGAACAACTACCAAAGATCTTCAAGCGAGAGCAATTTAAGAGAAATGTTTTGTTGAATCCTTCTTTTTAATAATTTTTTCCCCATTTAGGAACTTTTTGGCTACTGGCGAAAAAATCTCACTTTTAATAGATAGGCCTTTTTGGGGTGACTACTAATGTGCTGATAAAGTTGCATGTACTTGTGTTTATTCCAATTATTACAGAGGTTGCCTGCATAGCTACTCATTCATTCATTAAATATGTATTGACTGCGTACTGTCACTTCTGCTTTTCTGGGCATTGGTAAGAGAGGGGCAAATGAGACAAACAAGGTCACTGCTCTCAGCAAGCTTATATAACAGTGTGAAGACAAAATAAGCAAGCAAAACAGTAAATAATATAATTTCCATTAAAAGTAATCACAGCAAAAAAACTAGGTAATGTGATGATGACTAGATGAGTGGGGTTGGGTAGAATGTGGCAACAATATTAGTTGGAGTTATAAAAGAAGACTTCCTTAAGAAGATAGATTTTTAAGCAAAGACCTAAATGATTAATGAAGACATGAGAATTCTAGCCCAACAGAACAGTAAGATCCTGAGTTCAGATGAGCTTTATGTCTTCTGAAAATAAAAAGAAAGCCAGTTGGGGCTACATCAAGGTAAGATAGGAGGTGGTAAATGATGACAGATGGGGTCAGGCTGGGGAAAAAAATCACATGCATACTTGCAGGCCAGGACAACTAGTTTTTATAGCCATTCCAACTGTGTATATTTAGTATTACAGCATCAGCCCCTACAGCATATTACGAGTTAACTTTTTTTGTTTCCTTATAACCAAGAATAATCATTTGTAATTGGAGTTATTGCTATTTCAATCTTGCAAATTTGATATGTAATGTATCAAGTTCATAAAAAAGAATAAACTTCTAGTAAACATTCATCGAATCAATGCACAACTATTTATTGTACAATGCACAAAAGTACTGGTAAAATTTTGAGACCAAAAGGAGCCTTAAAGGAGAAAGAAGGACTTAAATTGGACATTGAAGAAACCAGCCCTCTAAGTCAACTCACAGATGAGGTACTCTCAGAATGTAAAAAATAAAAAGATTTATTAAACTACAAAACTATAGTAACCAAAAGGCATGGTACTGGCTCAAAAGTAGACCTATGGACCAATAGAAGAGAACAGAGAACCCAGAAATGAATCCATACACCTACAGTGAACTCATTTTTAACAAAAGTGCCAAGAACATACATTGGGGAAAAGAGAGCCTCTTCAATAAATGGTGCTGGGAAATCCTTATGCAGAAGAATGAAACTAGACCCCTATCTCTTACCATATACAAAAGTCAAATCAAAATGCATTGAAGACTTAAATCTAAGACATGAAACTATCAAACTACTACAAGAAAACATTGGCGGAGATCTCCAGGTCATTGGTCTGGGCAAAAATTTCCTGAGTAAGCACAGGCAACCAATGCAAAAATGGACAAATGGAATCACATCAAATTTAAAAGCTTCGCATAGCAAAGGAAACAATCAACAAAATCAAGAGACAATCCACAGAATGAGAGAAAATATTTGCAAACTACCTATCTGACGAGGGATTAATACCCAGAGTATACAAGGAGTGCAAACAACTCTATAGGAAAAATCTAACAATCCAATAAAATAATGGCCAAAATAAATGAATAGACATTTCTCAAAAGAAGACATACAAAGAATAAACAGGCATATGCAAAGGTACTCAACATCACTTATCATCAGAGAAATGCAAATCAAAGCAACAATGCAATATCATGTCACCCCAGTTAAAATGGCTTATATCCAAAATACAGGCAATATCAAATGCTGGTAAGGATGTGGAGAAAAGAAAATCCACTGTTGGTGGAAATGTAAACTAGTGCAACCACTATGGAGAACAGTTTGGAGGTTCCTCAAAAAACTAAAAATAGATCTATCATATGATACAGCAATCCCACTGCTCAGTATAACCCAAAAGAAAGCAAACCAGTATATCAAAGAGAAATCTGAACTCCTATGTTTGTTGCAGAACTGTTCACAACAGCCAACATTTGGAAGCAACGTAGGTATTTGGAAGCAATTAAGTATCCATCAACAGATAAACGGATAGAGAAAACATGGTACACAACACAATAGAGCACTATTCAGTTATAAAAAAATGAGATCCTGTCATTTGCAACATCATGGATAAGCTGGAGATCATTATGTTAAGTGAAATAAGCCAGGCACAGATACACTAATATTGCATGTTTTCACTTATGTGTGGAATCTCGAAACCAAAACAGGTCAGGTGAGATGGCACACACCTGTAAGCCTAGCACTTTGGAAGGCTGACGTGGGCGGATCGCTTGAGCCCAGGAATTAGAGACCAGCCTGAGCAATATGGCAAAACCCCATCTCTTTAAAAATACAAAAAATTAGCCAGGTGTGGCGGTGCACGCCTGTAGTTCCAGCTACTTGGGAGGCTGAGGTGGGAGGATCACTTGAGCCTGGCAGAGTGAGGCTGCAGTGAGCTGTTACTGTACCACTGCACTCCAGCGTGGGTGACAGAGAAAGATGCTTTCTCAAAAATAAATAAATAAATAAATAAATAAATAAATAGGCCGGGCACGGTGGCTCACACCTGTAATGCCAGCACTTTGGGAGGCTGAGATGGGCGGATCACGAGGTCAGGAATTCGAGACCATCCTGGTTAACATGGGGAAACCCCGTCTCTACTAAAAAAATACAAAAAACTAGCCGGGCGAGGTGGCGGGCGCCTGTAGTCCCAGCTACTTGGGAGACTGAGGCAGGAGAATGGTGTGAACCTGGGAGGCGGAACTTGCAGTGAGCTGAGATCCGGCCACTGCACTCCAGCCTGGGCGATAGAGCGAGACTCCATCTCAAAAAAAAAAAAAAATAATAATAATAAATAAATAAATAACTAAATAAATAACTACATTGAACTCATGGACGTAGAGAGTAGAAGAATGGTTAGCAGAGGCTGGGAAGGGTAGTGTGGAATAGGGGTAGGTGGGGATGATTAATAGGCGCCAAAAAAAGTCAGAAAGAATGAATAAAACCTACTATTTGAGACCACAACAGGGTGACTATAGTCAATAATAATTTAATTTTACTTTTTAAGATAACTAAAAGAGTATAAATGGATTATTTCTAACACAAAGGACAAATGCTTGAGGTGATGGATACCCCATTCTCTATGATGTGATAATTAGGCATTGCATGCCTGTATTAAAATATTTCATGTACCCCATAAATATATATGACCACTACGTGCCCACAAAAATCGAAAATTTAAAAAAATTATAATTTCACATAATCAAATTCCCACACATAGGTACTTTAATGTATGTCATATTTGGAAATCAAATAATGGACAATTCTGCTTCAGACTGAAGCTTCAACAAGCAAGAAATTACCTGTGATGACAAGAACCTCCCTCCCTCAGCCCCCGGCATTCACGCTCCCCTGGTGAATGGTGTACCCTTGCTTATGTTATGGCCTGTGTTTTCCCTCATCTCTATGCCTGTTCAAAGGCTATTTTATGAGGACAAGAGTAACTACTTGTATTTTCAGACAGAGGGGTGTACCCATGAACCACAGCAGCAAGGAACTCTTCTAGTAACTTCATGAATGTTAATTATATCATACCTGCACAGACTGGTCTCTCCAACAGGAAATTAGCTTCAAAAGTGAAAGGTCAGCCTCAGGTACATGGGAATCATTCTTACCTAGAAATATACAGAACACATTTATATCTTGAGAGTATTAAAAATGGATAGCAGCTCTTAAGACAGGCTGCATATTAGAATCACCTGGGAAGTTTTGTTTTTTATAAACACCAGTGCCCAGATTCAATCTTCCAGAGATTTTTATTTTACAGATCCTGTGGTAGAGGTGGGACAGGCATTAATGCTTTGTAAAAGTGCCACAGATGATTTACATGTACAGCCAGAGTCAACATCCATTTGTCTACATTTATATACACACCCACACACCCATATACACACACACACACACATTTATATGTAATTCTAACAATTATACTAACACATATTCACATCAAATCAGATTCATTTTTACAGTTTCAACACATTTTTGACCCAAGACAGATCATCAAATCTTACAATTCCTTCCTTATTCAAATTCTGAAATTCTCCTCTGCCATGAATTAGTCTCTATCACATGTAAAATCAGATAAAAGACTTCCTTTGATTTGTCCTTATCCAGCTCTACCACTCTGATCAATAGGTAGAGCACTACTGTTTTAATTTGACTCATTCTGTTATGTATTGTTTCTTTTCTGTTTGCCCTCTCCAATGTCCTTTCTATCTGTCTTAATGTTCAGTGTGAAATTTTAAGAATGAGTGAGCGCTTGGTTTAAGTAAATTGGTTCATTGAGTGTCCAGCAGTTTCCTACACACACAAAAAAAATACTTAATAAGTGTCTTTTCATTAATTGAAAATGTACAGATAATCATAATGAACAGTCGATGAATTAAGGCTTTCTGATGGCTAAAGTCTATTATCTAGGCGGCACATCCTGAGAGTGACATAGGGAAGAATGGTAAGGGCTTGCGCAAGCGGAAAAGTTGTTACTATAATTGTCTACTTAAATTAATATATTGATATATGTCTGACATTGTGGTATCAACTATTTAAATTAGCATTTGTCTGACACACTTTTCATCAAATCCCTATTTTTATATTAACATATGAGATATCTATCTATCGATCTATATGAATATATATTTACCACATTAGTAGTCAAGGAAAATGTAATAAAAGTATTGTATACAATGCAATTTGAGAACATAAAAGTAATATATAAGAAACTTCTGACCAATTATTGATAGTATTTTTTCCTGATAGAGCACTTAATATAAATGTAAAATGACCATGAACACTATATAAAACATGTAAGTATGATAGAAGATTATAATTTTGACATGTTTTCCATTTCTTCATGAACACAGTAGGTAAGAGAACATTTTCTTTTGATCTCCGTTTTTCCTCCCTCTCCCACTTTGCTGACCTTGTGACTCAACCATCAAAGCTAAGTATTGGTCTCAACTGTAACTACTTACTAACATCATGGGGTACCTCAAAGCACACTTTAACGTGATGTTGAAATTTTAATATGTGATAGAAATGAGAGCCAATTTATCTTGGCAATGTCAGTGAGTTAAAGAATTAATTGCAATTTTAGGGGGAAAGATGAAAAGAAAATATCCGAGGCTTACCAATATTATTCAGTCACCATTCCTGCTGACAGAAGTGAATACTGGTTCCTGTCAACATTTTAGAATGAGCACCTCAGAGTATTATTTTATTCTTAAGGATTTGGCTTTATAAAATTAATACCATGAAGTCAATACTTTCTTTTGTTTAACCTTCCATCTTCCTATTATTATTATTATTTTTTGAAAAACGTGTTTCCCTTGTCCTTAGCTGAATTTCAAATGCGATAAAGGCCAACCTAAATCCCAGAGAGATGATTCTATAGTAACAGTAGTTGCTTAGGCTTTTTTGCTGGGGCAGCCACAGGAAAAACAGGGACCTCCTTGATTCTAGTTAGCAATCCCCTGTCTTTGCAGAAATACTTATACTAAATCTTAAATTCCAATCCCCTTCCGAGTTACCAGTGCTAAAAACAAACAAACAACAACAACAACAAAAACATTGGATAGCTAACCCTAATAAGAGTAACTATCTAAGGAGAAAGGAGGCAACCCAGACTGGGGCTATTTAGAGGGAACTTTATCTGTAATCATAAATGTGAGAAGTGGCCTGACACAGTGGACAGGAAATGGGGTTAGGAATCAGATTTGGATTGGAATGCAGGCCCCTCTACTGAATAGCTGTTTGCCTATAAGTCATTGAACTTCCTTGAGTCCCATTTTTTTTAAAGTAAAACAGAGATGCTGCCTCCTACTGTGCAGGGTTGTTTTTGTATTAAATGAGTAAAAACATTAAATATGTAAAACCATTAACATAATTCTTGGACCATACTAAGCACTAGATAATTGGAAGCTATTAATAAACTCTCACTTAAAAATACTCTTTTCAACAGTCCTGTGAGGGCCACTGTGTACCGTTATTCAGGTCACCCCATCCTATGGATCACATACTGCACAGCTTTGGAGGCAACACGCACACTGTGTCTGGGATCACATTCCCATTTTACAAATGTAGTAATTAGGGCTTTTAAAAAGTAAAAAACATGCCCAATAGAACACAAGTAGTCAATAGCAGAGCTGGATCTTGAATCTCAGCCATGTATCTTATTTATCTCCAAAACCATTGTTCTAGTCATTATTCATCCTTTAATTTTATTTGTCCATTAATTTAATTCATCCACGAATGCAAAAGTTATTTGCTAATTCCTTCTAGATATTGTACTAGGAACTGGGGACACAACAATGAATAAAACTGTCACCAAAATATAACTTCCATGGAGCTTACAATTTAGTAGCAGGAGGCAGATGAGATTTTTAAAAGTAACAGATGTCAGATAGTGAAGAGGCTTATGGAAAATAGTACAACAGCGAAAGGGGCAGGGAGTGCTGGGGAGGAGGTAGGGCACCTTCAGTGATAAACTGGCACTGGAGCAAGACTTGATGGATGGTAGCAGGTGGAGGGTGAGCAGGTTGAGCCACATGAAGGTCTAGGGAAAGAACACCACAGGCAAGGGTACAGCCAATGCAAAGGTCCTCAGACCTGCTTGTCATGCTTGGGTAAGAGTAAAAAGGCTAGGGTGGCTGGAATGAGTTAAGCAGGGGGTGAACACTAAGAGATAAGGTTGGATGGGGGTGTGTATGTGATGACATACGTAAGCAGTCAGATCCTATAGGGCCTTGTGTGCTATAGTAAGGACAATGGCTTTTATTCTGAGTGAAACAGAAGCCATTGGAAGGTTATACATAGAAGAGTGAGGTTCTGACTTAGTTCTGAATAAATCATTCTGGCTGCTTGGTTGGGAACAGAGTGCAGCAGCCAAGAATAGGAGCAGAGAGATGATCAGGTGCCTACTGTGGTCATCCAGGCAGGACAGGAGGAACGCTCACAGGGGTGAGGGTAAGGGAAAGGAAGGTTGAGGGAGATGGAGTTGCTGGTGTAGTGGGTGAGAAGCAGTCAGATTCTGGGATACATTCTGAAGGTAGAACTGACACAATTACTAACAGATTGGACGTGGGGTGTGAGAGAAAGGGAAAGTTCTTGGCTTGAGCAATTGGCGATTGGAAGGATAGAACTGTCATTTACTGAGATGTCCCAAACTTGGAAAAACAGGTTTAGGAGATAAATTTGCCATTTGGCATCAAGAGAAAATCTAAACACTGAAGTTGAGAATATAATCTTCTAAAATTGCAAGAACATTATCTAATATAATAATCATTTATTTGGTAATAAAGATATTGATGCAATAAACTTTCCAATAAAACATAATAATAAAATACTTAACACCTAAGTATTTCCTTTGCTGAAAAGTTTCAAATTTTTAGGCATTTCAAAGATCATTTGAAATCTATGTTTTATAAATGTTAGAATGTTATGTCTATGTTTTAAAATTATAAAATGTTCAATTTGTGTTTTTAAATGTTTGATAAATGTCACCCACCTCATTTTCTAAATGAAGAAAGTAAGGCCCAGAAAAGCTAAATGACTAGCCTCAAGCCACACAGCTAGTGTAATCACAAACATAGGTAAAATCTATGTTTTACAAATGTTATTTATTTTGACATTGCTAACCAGTTATAGAAAGACTAGTTATTTCCTTTCATAGGAAAAAAAAAGTCAGATCATATCTGTGTCAGTAGCTCCCTTACCATTTCGTGAGCAACCGTAGAAGCTTGACATATTTAAAATGTCATTCCCAGCACTTCTCACCTTATTATGTGCACATTCCATTCTGAAAGAACTGTTAGAAAAAAGATTGGCAGTATATTACTAAAAAGCACAAAAAATTATTTGAGGAAATAAATCAAAGATATGGGTACACGACCACTTTCGCAAATTTGGAAATTGAATACAGATTATTTTTAGCAATATCTTTCACATCAATTTCTTTTGTGAATCTGATTTCCTCACTTTGTTCCCACCTAATCTTTTTTTTTTTTTTGGGCTCCCACCTAAAATCTTAATCCCAATTGACCTGCACGTCTTAGTTTGCCAGTATTATCTGTGACCTACATTTACAAGACAGGTTTGCTATTTTAGGTCACATGACTACTGACTAATGCAACAAATTAAAAAAACTCAATATGTTGACATCTGTCAAAGAATTCTCCTCAGCTACCATTGGAGCCTTATGAAGGCGGGTTTTACCCTACACCAGTGTTCCCATCACAGGAATCTTCCGAAACTGCCAGGGATGTTCTGATAAGTAGGCAGGTGTTGCCTTAAAATTCAGTTAAATCATGTGCCCAGTTGTTAAGCTTATGAAGATTTCTCAACCTTCACAACCACAGTAAAATTTCTGTGAAATGGTCAAATTTGTTGGAAGGATTTGGTGTGACAAATCCAACATACATTATTTTGATTTCTCAAAAAATAGTATCTGGGCTCTGACAGCAGATCAAATCTGGAGTGGCTGCAGTAGAGAAGCAGTCTCTCATCCTGACACGTTCATTCTATAATTTGTTTCAATGAAGAATTCTTTAAAGAGTCAACTAATGTGTGACAACATTTGAAAGGCTATTTAATGAAAGGCATACCAAAAGTCCGTAAGCTTCCCTAAAGTGCACCAGACATCAGACACATAATTTCCATCCTGTAATCTGTATCAGGAATAAACTCACAATGAAAACCTCTGGCAAACAACTAAGTCCCTCATCTGCTCTGTGGGATCATGATTAGACCAATAAATCAAATTGATTAGCAACCTAAGCTTTTAAGAATTTCACAGTCACCTATACCACCCACCTCATTTTGTAAATCAGGAAAGTAAGGCCCAGAAAAGCAAAGTGACTAGCCCAAAGTCACATAGTAGTGTAATCTCAACACTCAAAAACAACAGTTATTACTAAACTGTACTATGTATAAATGAATTACTAAATAGCCTCTTCTATTTTATTCTACTTTAATATGCCAAAATATAAAATAAATGGTAAAATTTGAGGTATGAAATTTTCAATTTTTTCTTTCTCTGATGATATAAAAAACATATCATCATAAGCCTTTACTTAAATGTTTTTGTTCATACTTAATTCATACCATGTATAATGGATTTCAAGACATATATGTGTTTTTGTTCATACTTAATTCATACCATGTATAATGGATTTCAAGACGTATATGTGTCTATGTATGTATATGTGTATGTATCTATGTATCTATGTAGCTATCTATCTATCTATCTATCTATCTATCTATCTACTCATTCAGCATCCCACACTATGTCTTTTCTGACACATATTATGAAAACATTGAATATTTGTTGAATGAATGAATTTTAAATCATATAGATCTATTGCCAAATTATACTCCAATCCAAACAATTAAAAGGGAGATTTTCTTAATGTTTTTTAAACCAAGAAGTTGTTGCATATTTACCCCCCACTGCAAAGAAGGAAGGAATGTTAAAGAGCTGAATATACCAAAGAGCAAATCATGATTTTTTTTTAATGTCATAATCTAGTATAGTCAAAATCTCTAGGTATGTCTTACCTGCCAACTCTAAATGCCAATTCTAAAGGCATGTTAACTAACTTATTAACTAAAAATAGTCTGCTCAACAAATAAACTATAGTATTTGACTCTTGCAAAGAATCACAATTATTTTCCAGTCTTCTTGGAATTCCAACCTGATCTGGAAGAGTGGCTGTGTATTTATCTGACAAGTCCAAAACTTTCCTGGAAAATAAATTTACTCCTGAATAGTCTTTTATCGTTTCAGTATTGCATACATCCCAACCTGGCAACATCAGTGAGAAATGATCTTCATTCGAAGCAAGTCCCAAAGAAATAGGACCCTGAAGCTTTAAAATATTGAGGTGCTTAATGCAAAGATAATCTAAATCTTTATCCACTCCCCATGGCAAAAGGCAAGACAGAAACAATTTAGCTGTGTCTATTGTAAGACTGGCATCTACTTTTCTTGTTGGCTTAGGCTGCATTTTTTTGGAGATCTTCATTTTCTTCTGCCTTTTAATTCCATCATTTTCTTCTGAGAATTTGATGGTATTATCTCCTTGGGACAGGCTTTCAGTAATAGGCTTGGATTGTGCCTCTGCTGAGAGAGGACCACAGGCAGTTTTACTCTTTCTCAGTGTCAGTGTCTTCTTCTCCACTGTGCTCTTGGCTCTTCTCAGGACCTCACCACCATAGAATGAACTGGAAGAGTCAACATCACTGAGTGGAGTTGGTAGTAAAAGTTCAACAAGGTTTTCCAGATCAAATAGAAGAATATGAAAGCCCACGTTACTCCATTTTGTCTTCACAGGCAAGACATTAAAAGGTCTTGGGTAAAATTTGGCATCAGCAACCTAAGGGAACAAAAAAATATTTTGTGTCAAAGTTCTTGCTTATTAAGTTATTTTATTAAAGATTCCATGATGTTAAAGTGGCATTTTAAAAAAGTATTAATTTGCAGAGTAGCTAAAGGCAAGTCATTTTAATTTTTTTGTCTTAGCTATAAAAAATTCCTTTCTAAATTAAATATTCTATATTCTAACATTCTTTGAAAACTTCTTTTCTTTTTTCCTAAATTTTATTTTTCCTCTAAATAAATATGAATTATGTCTCTGGAGTAAGATGGTACTAGATTAACATCCTTTAATACACACTCTCACATCTTTCTACTATTATAGTCATAAAGACATACAAGGACAAGGTTGGTTTGAAAACTGAGGAGAACAAATGTAAGAACGCAAGCAAAAACTAAATATTTTAACAACAATGGTGCTTCCAAATTTGTTAAAATTGGAAGTAATTGAAATGTTGACCAATGTCATATTGCTCTAAGAAAAACCCAAAAAACTCACCTTGTTGTCTTGCATTTGATTTTTCCCCAAAGGCTGGCACAGTGGGTTCCCATACTTCTACTATGTTCTTGCTAATTTATGAGGCATTCCTTGCCCATACTTCTACTATGTTCTTGCTAATTTATGAGGCATTCCTTGAATACCTTATTCCCTCATATCAACTCACTACTCTCTAAACTCTTCCTTGCTTTCCTTCTTCTTTCTAGGACTTAGGATTTCCTTATAGAATATGAAAAATTTATTTCTTTATTGTATGTTTCCTCCACTAGCATTCAACCCCACCTTTGCAGGAATTTTGTATGTTAGTTGCCTCAAGTGCCTACAAAACAATGCTGCTATATAGCATTATCAAGAGACTCAATTAATGTCTGTTGAATTAATAATTAGCAAATTTATACAATGGAACACAATTTAAATAATTTAAAATGGTGGTGTAAATTGTATCGATTGGTGAAAAACATGTTATTAGGCAGACAAAATAATTCTCCATTAGTAAAATTTTAGGAACAAATATAGATATTTAAAAATTTGACATATATCTCTATCTACATTTATATATAAAAATGTACATATATAGAGAATAAGTAAATACAAATAAATAAAGTCACAAAGGATATGAACCAAAATGTTACCAACAGTTAACATTTAATTGGGAAGAAGGAATTAATTGGGAAGAAGAAATTAAAATGATCTTTATTTATACTACGGTGTGTTGTGTTTTTTATTTGGTTTCCTGAAATTTTTTACGGTGATGATATATTTAATTTTCAATAATACAAAAGGAAAGTTTAAAAAGAAAACCATTACAAATTATAAGTGTTAAAAAATGAAATGGAGAATGAATTGTAAAGAGCACATTTGTTTGTCAATAATTGTTAATGTAATTATTAACAAATAATTTTTGCAAATCAATAACAAGAAGAGGATCTTACAGATGGATGAATGGGCAAAGGTAATAACAATTCACAAAACAAATATTCAAAAGTTACAATATGAAAAATTTTTACTACAAGTAGTAACCAGAAAAATGAAATTAAAATAATACCATTCATTGGCCTATTAATTTCATCAACATTATGTTCATCAAAGAAGCCAGACATAAAAGAATTAACTGTATGTAATTCCATCCCTGTTATTTTCAAAAGACAGGAGAAAACAAAACAAGAGGGTTTAAGGATACATTCATAAACAATAAATCTACAAAGCTAGAGGCTACCTTTTGAGGACTGGGAAATATAGCTTCTGGGGCACTCACATATTTTATTTCTGGATCTATGTAGTGATTATGAAGGTGTGTGCTTTACGACCATTGAGTTGTACATTTTTGTGCTGCGTTGTTTACTTTTTTCTCTATGTGTTATACATTTCATGGTAAATAAATAATGTAAGTGAACTGTTTAAGGAATATTAACAAAGTGCCTCCATTTGGACTAAAAAGTAGACTATGTCCTGACTTTTTTTACCCCTGCATACTGTCAGAAAGTAACCAATATTTGAATTTTGTGCTTATAATTTCTTTGCTTTTGTTTAGGTCTTAACCTTAAATATGTATTCCTATTTGACCTATTTAATCTTGCATGTTTTTGCATGTTTGCCAAACTCCCGATTACATCTCCCACTTATTTAGACCATGTTTAATTTCTTCTGATAATTTTATAATCACTCAAAAATATGTTTATATTACTTGCCTATCAGTTATTTTAACTCTGCAGTACCTGTAACTATGGGCCCTCTTAAAATTTATTACTTTTGTTGCCTCTTTTTTTTCCTGCTAGAATTTTGTCAATTTTGATACTCTTTTTAAAGAATCAACTTTTGACTTTGTTTATCCTCTCAATGGAATGTTTTCCTCAAAAGGTAGTCTTGCTAAGTATACAATTTTAGCTTGACTTATTTTCTCCCAGTATTGGTGAAGAAAGGATTATTCTGCAGTCTCTGTCTTCCTCTGATGCAGTTGAGAAGTCAGCTGCTAGTCTGTCGCACCATCTGTCTTTTCTCTCTGCTGTTTGATTAGATCCTTTAGGTTTGTTTTTCTTTCCCATTAGTTTGCCTGAGGATAATGGCTTGCAGCTCCATCCATTGTCCCTGTAAAGGACACATCTCATTCTTTTTTATGGCTGTGTAGTATTCCATGGTATATATGTACCACTTTCTCCTTATCCAGTCTATCATTGATGGGCATTTGGGTTGATTCCATATCTTTGCTACTGTGACTAGTGCTGCAATGAACTTGCATGTACTTTTAAATAGAATGATTTATATTCCTATGGATACATACCCAGTAATGGGATTGCTGGGTCGATGCTATTTCTGGTTCAGCGTCTTCGGAATCGCTGCACTGTCTTCCACAGTGGTTGAACTAATTTACATGTCCACCAACAGTGTGAAAGTTGGTCCTGTTTTCTAAAGCCCGCTATTATGATCTGTTCGTTTCTTGACTTTTTAATGATCACCATTCTGAATTGTCATGAGATGGTATCTCATTGCGGTTTTGATTTGCATTTCTCTAATGATCAATGATTATGAGCTTTTTTCATATGTTAGTTGACCCATAAATGTCTTCTGTTGAACAGTGTCTGTTCTTGTCCTTTTGCCCAATTTCAATGGGTTGTTTGTTTTTTTTCTTGTAAATTTAAGTTTCCTTGTAGATTCTGGATATTAGGGCTTTGTCAGATGCATAGATTGCAAAAATTTTCTCCCCATTCATGTAGGTTGTCTCTTCACTCTGATGATAGTTTTTTTTTAAAAAAAATGTTTTTTTTCCATAGGTTATTGGGGAACAGGTGGTGTTTGATTACATGATTAAAAGCTTAGTGGTGATTGGAGAGTTCTGTTGCACCCATCACCCAAGTGGTATACACTGCACACAGTTGTAGTCTTTTATTTGTCCATCCCTTCCACCTTTTCCCGCTGTGTCCCCCAAAGTTTGTTGTGTCATTCTTACGCTTTGGCATTCTCAAGCAGCTTAGCTCCCACTTATGAGTGAAAACATACGATGTTTTCGTAGATATATATATCCACAGTTTCTTTATCCACTCATTATTGATGGGCCATTTGGGTTAACTCCCCAGTTTTGCAATTGAGAATTGTACTGCTATAAACATGGTTTGTACAAGTATTTTTTTCATATAATGACTTATTTCCTCCTGAATGGATACCCAGTAGTGGGATTGCTGGATCAAATGGTAGTTCTGCTTTTAGTTCTTTAAGGAATCTCCACACCTGTTTTCCCATAGTGGTTGTGGTAGTTTTACCTTCCCACCGGCAGTGTAGAGAGGACTCCCTGTTTACCGGCATCCATGCCAACATCTTTTTTTATTTTTTTATTATGGCCATTCTTGCAAGAGTAAAGTAGTATTGCACTCTGTGTTTTGATTTGGCATTATCCTGATCAATTAGTGATGTTGAGCATTTTTTATATGTTTGTTGGCGATTTGTATATCTTCTTTTGATAATTTTCTATTCATGTTCTTAGCCCACTTTTTGATGGAATTGTTTGTATTTTTCTTAGTGATTTGTTTGAGTTCATTGTAGATTCCTGGATATCAGTCCTTTGTTAGATGTATGATTGTGAAGTTTTCGCCCCACTCTATGGGTTGTCTGTTTACTCCTGCTGACTGTTCCTTTTGCCATGCAGAAGCTCTTTAGTTTAATTAAGTCCTGCTGTTTAATCTTTGTTTTTATTGCATTTGCTTTTGGGTTGTTGGTCATGAAATCCTTGTCTAGGCTGATGTCTAGAGGAGTTTTTCC